CGGAAGAGTCGCAGCAGAAGACGGAGGCTGGACCAGGAGCAGTGAGGGTCAGGACACATGACCACATAGGGCTGAATCCGCAGTTGGGCCAGGAAACGGCGGAAAGGCTGGGCCTCGAGAGCGAGACGGAAGAGCGGCGCCTCCATAATTACGACCGGCGGCCGGAAGGCAGGCACGGCATCGCGGCGGTAGTAGTGTTCTTCCATCTTCCGCAGACGGAGCCGCTGAGATGTAAGTGGACAGACTTGTGTATTCCAAACGGGGAAGGCGAGGGAGCAAACGGTGCAGAAGGGGATGGGGTGCGGTGTAGAAAGCGGGATGTCGAGTTGATTTTGCGGATTAGAAAATGGTTCACCCACCTGCGGAGTGGAACGGGTGGGCGTAACGTAACGCTAACCGACGACCCTACCGATTGAGCTCGACTAGACGATGCATTTTCTAGTGACGCAAAACCGGTGTTTAGAGTCGAGTTGGACGGGCAACTAGGATATTGTTCATCTGCCCCGAATTTGTCCGTGTATTTATTTTCCATTTTTCCTGTAGTCTATTCTTTTTAAAGGATTTTAACGTTTTACTTTGTTTGATTTCCTTGCTGACTCTACTTCTTTATTCACTCCTTTTATTTCTTTCGATCAGCGCCAAGTGTGTATAATTCTTTTTTGCTTGGTTTTTGATGGTTGGATTGGAATTGGTGGGATGGAGGTAACAAGTTTTGTTTCAGGAGGATGTCGAGTAAAGGTATGGAGTTGCATGTTTTTGGGGATTTCAAACAGTTACAGTTACAGTAAGGCGGGAGTTGGAAGTGGAGGTGAGTAGTTGATGATTTTGTGTTGTTGGTGTTAAATTTTGTTTCAGGAGGCGATCGGGATTCATCTTGATATCCGGGGACGGAGGTACTTGTGGAGACTGGAAATTGAAACTTGTCCTTGATGGAAGGGAGCTGTGGACATTTTCATGGGACGACAAGTTTTCCGTTTTTGACCTTGGAAATGATTTATTTCTTGTGTTGTGTCTTTTCATGTTTTGATTGCAGGGGTATTCATTCCTAAAATCTAAAATCCCCACTTATACTTTATTTTATTGAGAAGAACACATCAAAATTATTCCTTGAAGTTTTCGCAGAATTTTCTTCGTACGGAGAAGACATGAAATTAAGGCAAATTTGAAACATGGCCGATGAGTGTTTTTCAATTTTTAAAAATAAATTTAAAAAAATAAATGAAAAATAAAGAACGACAAGAAGTCTTCATCGTCACATACCGAGATAATTGGTTTTGCTTTTGGATCATTGATTTATATTTACCGCCATTTTTGCTTTCCTTGCTTGTAGGTCAGTGAGAGTTAATTTGCACCAAGTAGTAGCTCGCGAGATGAGAGTATAATGATAGATAACTCGTCAGTTTCTCCAGCTGTTTCCTTGCCTGTATCTCCGCCTATCTCTCCTCGTCTATGAGGATAATTTAAATATTTATAGAGGAGATGCAAAATTAATTGTGTTAAGTCGATATGATGATTAATTGATTCATCTTATTTATTTATTTAATTTCTTACTTACTTACATTTATATTTCTTGTTTATTATATCTCCTGTCGATTCATTGATCTTGTCCATATTTTCCCTATAAAGTTATCAAAGTATGTTCAGCCCTGGAAATTAAGTTTTTCTTTGTTTTAAGCAGTTTTTCTATCTTTTGGCAAATATTGTCGGATGTAGTTTCATGCATTGTATGCATTAAATGTGCTACGCTGGCCACAAGGAAGACATGACCAGTTGGTCCTATCGTTGCCAGCCTAAATAAACTTTCTTAAATCTAAAAATCCCCAAAAGCCTTCACCTACCTCCTCTCCCAGGAGGAGAGCCCCGCTCTATTGTGTTTTCAGCGGCAAAGTAGGCAAAGCCTCCTCCCCCAATGAACAAAACTCAATTATCTCCCGTAAAAAAATTAAAAATTACTCAATTTCATCCAAATTTTGTCCACTGAGCGAAGCTCAGCTATCCGATCAATCCTATAATCTGCACTGCGTTCAGTGTCAAAGGGAGGCTAAGCAAGATAAACAAGACGAATATACATCGGTTGTTGGCTTAGAATTATGCTCGACACGATTTTTGCATTTTCCGGCCGCGCGGTCGCTCGGTATCCACCGATGGCGAGGCGTGAATGATCGATCATTGATATTTACCCATTGGAAGCTATGGTAAAAAATCGATTAAGATAAGATGCTCGTTGCGAACACCCTGTTTATCGATACTCATCACGTTAGGCTAGCCTACCGGGTGTAAGCAGCATAGCCTAGCCCCTATGATTTGAACGGGGCGACTGAGCGTCGCCCTATGTTATGACTTCACTTTCGAGGGTAGAGAAAGTGGGAGGCACCCGTTCGGGCGGCGCCCGATTCCCTCCCTGATCCGATTCCCTCCCGCAGCCTAAGTCCGTTCCCGATTCCCTCTCGCTAATTACCTTTAATAAAATGAAACGGCAACGCCGCATTAATCTTGTCTCCTCATCAGTGCGAGCAGATGTGCTTTGATACCATTGCGGTGATAATAATCCCGGCATCGGGTTTCGAAAAAATCAAAAGTGAACGTAATAAAGATTTAATTTTTCGTGTTCGAACGTGTAAAACCGGCATTGGAAGAAAAAGGCTACCGAGTGTCGATCCCTTGTCTGAGGAAAGATAACAATCAATTGACAACACTTGCAGCAAATAGGTCCCGATTGTGTACAAAGCAGAGATGGGTTGTAGAGTGGATCAACAGTAGTCTCAAGAGGTTCAAATATCTGAAAAGAACTGTTACCACTGTCCAAGTTCCTCATCTTTATGAAGATGTTCGAATTGCTGCTGCACTACATAATTCGTTTTTCTCGCGACAATGCGGTGATGAAGATAATCAGGAGGTCGCTTTAAGAATGCTCGCGGATTTAAAAAAGGAGAATTTGGTAAAAATTTTAGTTGAAGAACGATCACTAATTCGGAGAGCAAAGTGTTTTGAAAAACTAAGTAGAGATCATTATGAAGAGTTCCCGATTTGGACACCAGACCAAATCAAATCTTACAGTGGTACGTATCAGGTGTCACTAGCGCGATTGTACATAGCCGATCATCTTTTCTCCGGAAAATATCAATTTTTTGTAAGCAAAGATTTAGATCTTCCGCACTTTTCTTCTGTTGGCATTTGCGTCAAAAAACCGCTTTTTGTAAAACCTAAGCTGGAATCTAGACACTAGTCAAACAAAGTCTATTCCATTTTCATTTTGATTGAATTAGAGGGTAGAACCATCTTTGATTCACTGATTGGACATTTTTGTACGTGCAAAACGCGTTTTTGAACGTGTAGAAAAATCGCTATAACTCACGAACGAATCGTTTCCCCAAGGTCAAATGAAGTGTGGCAGATGCAGAATTTTATGGAGAATCATCTCAATAGGTTTTTATTTACGTAGCAACGATCGCCTGGAGAGGAGAGACGAAAAACGAAAAAAAATCGAACCGTCAAAATCGAAAAAACCGATTTATGACTACAATAAATTACGCAACCGTGCAAACAACACTGATATTCTTATAGAGAATATTTTTTGACATTTTTTAGCGCAAACCGCAACACTTAAACTCAAACCGTTCGCGAGATATCGAATTTTGAAGTTTTTAAAAAATTGCAACTTTGCCCCCCTGCCCCCTCCCCCCTAATTATCCGAGGGGGCTGAAATTTTGCCCAAGCATCGGGGGCACTTAGTACAACATCTGAGCAGAGTTTGGGCCAAATCCAGGGGGGGCCAAAATCGGCGTTTTTGGAACAACCTCTTTGTCGACAAAAAATAAGGAACAGTGATGAGTGTAAGCGGCCGTAGAAACTTTTACATGATGAGTTGAACGAAGAGGACTGCGGCATTTTAACAAAGGAAGATGTGATTTGCATTCAGAAAGGAATATACAGTTGCAAGACGTGGGAATCACTCAGCGTTCCACAGAGTGTCGTCGACGTGCATATGGAGATCGGTGGAATGGAAGGTCTCGACGATTTTTTATTAGTGAATAACAAGCGTCGTAATATAATAATTATTGCGAGTACACAATTTTGGATAACGCTGGGCGCTGCTGTCAATGTGTTTGTGGACGGTACATTAATGCGGCGTTGCCGCTTTATTTTATTACAGGTTATTAGCGGGAGGGAATCGGAAACGGACTTAGGCTGCGGGAGGGAATTGGATCCGGGAGGGAATCTTGGGAAGGAATCGGGCGCCGCCGGCCGCCGCCCACCCGTTCCTAAGAGCCAAATTTCCATTTTGATTCGCGAATGAAATTTGAACTTTTCCTGCAACGATTTGAGGCTGCAAGTCCAGATCTTAGTGATTTAAGTAATACCTGGATCTTACAAACCGATGGGAGACTGAAAACTTTTCATTGAGAAAAATTTAGGTGTTAAGAAAGAATGATCAAAGAGAGGATATTTTTGTGTGACAGTGCTATTCTAGCACACTGAGTCATGCTCTTACAGTGAATAGCGCTTAAAATAGTACCGCATGTTTCCGTAAGCTTATTCCAGACATGTTACAATTACCGTTTTTCGGATCACAATAGACATTGTATACCTAATCGTCTTTATTTGTGCTGCTTCATGTTAATTTCGGGGTAATCGGTAGTGATGATGGACTTAAGGTGCGTGATGTACATTCACGAATAGTCTCGAGGGCTTGAAGATATTTGGTGACACAAGTGTTGAGGACGTAAAGCTGCACTGACACGAGAAATGCTCGTATTTGCCTGACACGTAATGATAAACGCAACAACGTGGCAGAAGACCATTTTTCGTGTCAGTGCAAATAAGGCCATCGTTTCACGTGCTTAAAACTTGTGTCACGAGTTTGTCATTGAATGTACTCTGGCTCACGGACTATCATAATAAAAACATGCTGTAAAGGCAACATTTCTCGATACAATTTAAACAAAAACAAAAAAAACCATACGAGTCGTGACGAGATGAGAATGACGTGAGATACTTACAATGGACATTGACGATTATTCGTTTGCTGACCGTGGGCTGGACTCCGTTGGCGGCTATGCAGAAGTAGGCGCCCATTTCCGAGCGACTTATTTTGGTCAGATTCAAAGTTTCGCCCGGATAGCTTTTATCTGAAACAAAGTAGCTCGACATCAGTGACCGAATGTTTAATGAGATCCTCAAACAAAGTTCGCGGCGCGGTAGATTTTGATTAAACTACGGCTCCGTCCGTGCTCCAGCTTCTCAAGTTTCGATTCGAAGTCGTGCTCCGCTGCTACGCGGGCCACCATCGGCCACTTTTATCCGACGACCCAAGACAGATTTCAAGATCGCTCATAGTCCGACGAATCCGAGAAATTCCTCGCCTGACACCCAAGTTTTCAGAGTCAAATTCGGTTACTTTAGTTCAACATCAGGTTCGGATTTTGACGAGAAATAGTAGACCACAAGACAGTGGAAGCAATAGAATGCTAAAATACATGTATCCTTATAAAAAGCTCACATAGAACATGTTGGACGAAACGCAAACTTTCAAAAGTGAGGCGTCAGTGAAGAAGTAAGGTTCTTAGTTTGTTATAACGGAAAAAAGTGGTCGGGATTAGCCCCTAAAATTGTGGTACCATCCTAATTTGTTGGATGATATAAACATTTCAAATTCAATGTGGTGCGCAACTCTCCTGGACAATGTATTGTAATATACTGAGTGTTCTTGGACTTCCTTCCTTATTCCAGAACATATATTCAAAAGTATCGAAAAAAAATGCGTAAATTGAGAATTTGAAAGGTATACAATTATCATCAGAGTATAGATATTGCGCGACTTAGCGGAGGTTTATGCACGTCCTTGGGTCCCTTTGTTCCCCACATAATTCCTGAGAAAGCCCGTTTGAAGAGCCTGCAACCCTGCTGCGTTTACTTGTAAAATATTACATTGTTTTCATCCTGATGCGACTTTATTGTTCCGTTAAGTATAATCCTCTTTTCCCCCCGTCAAAAGTTAACCGACTCGGAGAGCAATGCTCGGTGCAGACAATGAATCTCAAGTTCAAAGTGTAGCGGAATCACTTATACTTTTCTGCCGTACTTAGCGAGAACCTCGTATCTTCGAGTGGAAACCCTCTGCAGATACGAGGTTGTAGCAGAGTGCAGAGCTTTCAACGTCTCCCTCGGGAGCTTCATTTGAGCCTCTTGTTTTCCTCCTTCGATGACGGTTCGTGAAAGAAGTAAAAATTAGCCTGTTTCGCTTGATTATTGTTCTGCGCCTCCTTGTCTACCCCGTGAGAAGATTTTCAGTCGCTCCAGTAGCAAATATCAAGAGTTACGAAGACATTATTCTTACAGTTGCAAGTTACGTAAAAATCCAAAATACTCTGACTTTACGGGCAAAATCCTCCGATACTCCTGCCGAAATTTCCTGTTGCGTGCACTGAGAAAAACAAATTCACAGGTTGTATATAGACACGACGTCCGTTCCGGCCGTAAGTTCCGGGTGCAACGCCCCGAACTTTCGGCCTCTGAGCCAGGAGCACGACCGGTATGGTTGGTCGTGTGGCCGGCTGCGTATCATTTCCGCCCACTTTTACGAGATTATCATTTCCACCCTCTTTTACCGAACGATCGTTTCGCCCATGAGTCGTTTGGCAACAGCGCATAGAGCACTAGACAGAGATAATCTGATTATTCGGCGTGCGTTATCTTCAGGTCCATCCAGAGCAATTAACATGTCTGTTGGCCAGGTGATGAGTCAGTTCAATCGCATCATTCGTTGACAAGTCAGTATGCTCGCGACGGTTACCGGGCGCGTTTTCTGAAAGGCTCGTAATGTATATTTAATCTGTGATATTCGTGCGATAATTTAACCCATTTTAATTTAAACCCATTTGATGTGCTATCCGTCCGGAAATTTTCAGTAATCATCTAAGAAGACACCATAATCAAGGACGGCAGTTCAAGGAGTTCAAAAAAGTTCCAAAAAATCTGGTCGCAGTCATTGATCAACTTTCAGATTTTGATTCAAAAACAGAAGAAAAAGGGCTAAAAGTGCATGTTGACAAAATCTCAGTAATCAAAATTTTCAGTAATCATCTAACAAGACACCATAATCAAGGACGGCAGTTCAAGGAGTTCAAAAAAGTTCCAAAAAATCTGGTCGCAGTCATTGATCAACTTTCAGATTTTGATTCAAAAACAGAAGAAAAAGGGCTAAAAGTGTATGTTGACAAAATCAACAAAATTGTTGGTGTCTCATTTCCAGAGAGCATACTTACCCAGCTTTAAGTTTTCAATTGGTGAGTTGCTTTTCCTTATTCGTACTGCTTTCATGTTGCCAAATGTTGCAAACAAAGTTCAAAAATATAAAAAAAAGGGGGCGGAGATGATAATCGGGCAAAAGTTGGCGAAAATGATAAAATCGCGAATAGTGGGCGGAAATGAAAGACTGCCATGTGGCCCGTAGGTACGATTACCGTGGCCTGAGTTTTTCTTCAGTGATCGAAAATTCCGCAAAATTAATTTTGTAACCCCTTTCTTCTCGTAAATGGCTCAATATAATTTAGATTCTAGAAGTCCATTGTGCTTAAGAGGCCGTGCGGAACACCTTTAAAAAAAATCCACATTGAACCGGCGCCGAATTTCTAAGTTCTCCGTGCATTCCTCTTTTAGCAGACGGCTTAAATGATTCTTCGAGGTTTTCTGACAGGCATTGTTCCACAATCAAAGTAGCGTAATGCACTGGCAACTCAGCAAGTTGGCAACAATTTTTCCCTGCATTTAAATCTGTTGAAAATATCGATTTTTGGTACGGCAAGTTGCCTCACCAATAATCGATTGTTTTATTCTAACGTATAAATGGAGGAAGACTGTGTTGCCGACTTTCAAGAATCGCAACTGGTGAAATGGCGTGACGTGCTTCGCGATCTATCGATTGATCTTCCGTTTAAACCTGTGGAAAAGGATCGAAAGACAGGGACTTCACAACCAACACCTTAAAAAATCATTCTTTACCATTCCTTCAAATGGGTGAAATATCGGTAATATATCATTCACAATTCAAGCAGGGTTGCCAGCCAAACTATTTTTTTCCATTCCCTGACTTTTCCCTGACTTTCCAATATTTTTCCCTGACTTTTAAGTATGGATCTGACGCAGTCTGTTAAAGTGAAAATGAGTCAGTTGATCCCGCAACGCGAGCCCGAGACCGCCCGCGCCTAATTCCACGAAAAATCAGAAAAATTCCTGACCAACACCGAAATTCCCTGACTTTCCCTGACTTTTCCCGGTTGATTTTTTTTCCCTGACTTTTCCCGGTTTTCCCGGTCGCTGGCAACCCTGTTCAAGGCACAACAACTCCAAGACCATTCCGATTCCGTCCCGATCTAGCTCGGTCTCGTACTCAACTTGGATCATTTGAATCGCCCAAAATCAGGCATGTTTGGGGCACAGCTTATGAGAATAAACTTCTTGAAGGAATTACTGCTGTACCACTTATCTCCCGCTACGCGGAACTGACTGAACCCATGGTTATTGGCGTTAATATGTACAAGCGTCTCCCGAATATTATCCATAAAGTCTTAGATGACACTGGATCTCCGCAATATGGAGTTGGACTAGACATCAAGTCCTTCGACTCCTCACTTCGACCGCGGCTTATGAATGCCGCGTTTGATATCCTGGAAGATGATATCGACTACACAGGTTATTATGATTGGCTCTCTTTCCAATTTTCATGAGAGCACTTTGTTCGACGCCCTGTAGTGATGCCCGATGGCAGAATAAGGCTTAAACAGCTAGGTTTACCGTCAGGTAGTTACTTCACACACAACTCGTGGGCTCGATCTGCCATCATATCGGAGTATCTTACGCACAATTTAAGATTTACCGACGTTTCTTCAAAACATGGGTACTTGGTGATGACTCACTATTTGGTATCCCAGAAGAACTCGGCCCCCCCGACCTGAACCTCTTCGCTCACCGGCTCGCAGTACTCGGTCTCACACTACATCCTGAGAAACGATACATTTCATTGCGGCCATCAGCGGGGCGATTATTGAAATTGATAGACAAAGCGATAGACAAAGATAACATAGGGAGTATGGAGCGATCCTATTGGTTGACATAGTTGGTTCTCATAGACTAAGGGGGAAAATGATAGACTAACTGTCGGGTCTCTCGTGGGTTGCCGTTAGTTAGTCTATTACCTACCACCTTTTTCCATTGCAACCACCCGTTTCCACCAATAGGATCCCTCCAAATCCCTTTTGTCGTTTTTGTCTATAGCTTTGTCTATCAGTTTCAATAATCGGCCCGCAGACCTCGAATTTCTTGGCAGCTGGTTTGGTATGGACACGTGCGGAGAATGGCAGATAGTAGGTTGCCCAGAAAGGTATTTGTCTATTTGATTGGGTTCCTCCCGGAAGAAGGCGGCGTGGACGTCCAGTAGAAGGTTGGCGGGAGGGAGTGGAAGGGGAGATCAGACGGAGTAATCTGCCCGATGATTTTTGTGGGAGGATCGATTCCGATGGCGATTTGGAGTCGCAGAGAGCTCTAGTGCGCTGATGTAGCGGCTTGAAATACATATATATCATTCACGCTTCGCCATTGGTGACATGTATTCCTGAGAATGAAATACATTACTTGTACTTGCAGCGGGGTGTAAGCTACAATTTACTGGACAATTAGCTGACGGAGTTAAATTAATTGTCAGAAATCTCAAGTTCAAACGAAAGCTGTCGCGTCGTAGGTAGCTCGGATAGTTGGTCAATTTCGCCGCCGGTCACAAAATCTTGTTTGGATGCTTAATTCTTGTAAATGAGCTAAGCATAATAAGCTCTACCTAAACAGCAAGTCTCGACGTTCAATATTAACCGAGGTACCGCGCTTTGAAAAATTCGGTTTATGACGTCATGCACCGCGGTAGTGGCACCACCTTTGTTTCACCTCAGTTTTATCAGCCAGGAAGCGACACACATTTGCATGGATACTCACCGTGCAACTTGGATGAAACTAAGGTGGAAGAAACCGAGGATGTCTTTACCGCGGAGGATGACGTCATAAACAGAATTTTCAAAGCGCGGTATCTCGGTTAATATTGAACGTAGAGACTTGCAATTCCGACAGATTTTATTATGTTTAC